ACTATGTCAAATAGACATTGAGAGTCATTTTTGTGTCAAGTTCAACATAGCCTAAATTTCATTTTGCTGTGGTCTGGTTAATTTTTTCCTCTGATCAAAACTGTACTGAAATTCAAAGCACTTGAGAGTGCCTGTCTTATCATTGCCAGTTCTTCCCATTCAGAAGCAAGGGATGTCTGATACTATAGTTCAGTTGTTTGTGTGAGGACAATCAGCTATCTGTGGCTGACCTTTTTTTTTTTTTTTTTAACCTATTCCCCCTTCACAAATTACTAAAGGACTAGTATTTGGGTTGATCAAATACCTCAGCTGATAAGTTGTAAGTCTATCAGCATTAAGATTTTTTGTCTTCAGGTTTAATATGAAGAAAGCAAAGCACATAAAATACATTTACCTCCAGAGAGGACAGCAGGTCCTGTGGAACACTCCTTAGCTCATCAAGTGTGGCTTTTGCAAATTCTTTTGCATCTGATAATTTTGCCTGCAGGCTTGCTGAGAGCTTGTCAAAGCTTTTCTTTATTCTGGTTTTCAGATAAAGGTGATTAAAAGAACCAAATAAATGTTATCAATGAAACATTTCCCTACTAACTACAATACCCAACTGAAACCACCCACGTTATTTAATACGTATCTTAAACACTATATTGTGTGCATGAACAACTGTATAAAGAAACTTACGATTGAGTCAGTTCTTGGCCAAACAGTTTCACATAATCTGATTTACAAGAAGATGCAAAAAGAATAAATTAGTGATTCTAAATGCAAAGTTTATCATTTCAGCCCAGGTGTAATAGTAAATACATTATAGTGTGCTGTGATTGTTCTGTGAGAGTGATACTGAGGTTTTGTTGCTTATAGTCTCCCTGTCAGGTTGTCAAAATGTCCATCATTAATTTTTTTTTCCTTCTTAGGACCCATCATAACCACTTATTAGGAAAATTATACTTACTGATTTTATTCTGAACTTCACATGTTGCGACTTTGGCATAGTATTTATGTGTACATTTCCATCTCGTTATTGACCAGAAGGGTTGGCTTCCAACTCCGCACAGAAAATGACATTCCGATGGGATGTTCAATTGAGTACAGCAGTTGGTATTATCTATATGAATAGAAGAGATGTCATGAACGGAATCAGAAATACTAGTTTCATTTTCATTCATTGTTGTTAGAAATTATATCTGAAAAGTCAACTCAGAGTATGTTTTGCTGTGGTCTAGTTAATTTTTTCCTCTGATCAAAAATGTAATGAAATTCAGGACACTTGCAAGTACTTCTTTTATTATTGCTAGTTATTCCCATTACTAGGAAGGAGTGAGAACATGGAATCCATTTGTTTCCATCAAAATATGGACAAATACAGTCCAATATCAGCATAAAAAATTATTGGCAACACATACATGTACTTCAAGCAAGAAATGCTATGGATATGTACGTGGTGTTAAATGTTTTATTACACTCATTTTTAAATCATTGGTTGACCCTGTTATCTGATTGGCTCTAATTGGTGTGATTTACTCATGAATTGCACCATTTTTTGTATTGAATCACATCTTTTCCCCAGGCAATGTAGAGGCTTCACTAAAAACAAAACAGCCCATTAGATTTCAAGGCTTGTTTAAAGTAACCAATCAAATTGCAAGAAAGTGAAAGACAAAGAGTATCATGTGGCAAATTTCGCAACTTTTGTTTTCAAAACTCTTATTTTTTTGCCCTAAAAAATGGATGAATTTAATTTCAAACCAGCTCAGTACTACATCAATAAAATATTTGAACTGACCAAATCCTGAATTTGGGTGATTTCAAAATGGATGTAATAAAGTGGTAATTGAACATCATGTCATGCAATTTTGGTTTGAAATCATACTTGTGATTTTAAATCGAACTCGCATTACGTGCTCATTTGATTTTGAAATCACGTGTATGATTTCAGCCCAAATTGCACTTCACTCAGCTCAATTACTATTATAAATTTAAAAAGTTATGCAGAAAGAGACTGTATTTATGCATGGCAACCCAAGGCAAACAGTAAGCAACAAAGTTTATCCTTTTAAAAAAATACAAAATATAACTCTTGTAAGAGGCAGTTCAGAATATGTACAAGTTATTATTCATGCATTCGTGTATATTAACTCACCCCCAACTGCTGTGGAACTTAGAAGCACTGCGATATAAAGAAAAAATTGTTAGTGAACATGTACTGTAATTATATAGAAAACACTAATCTCAAAATTGATTTTAAATGAAATTTTACAATTATAGCACACACATTAAATTACAGCATACACATTAAATACATGGTGAGTGGCAAAAAATCAGCTAGATTTACAAGAAATCAACTACGCCATTTGGGCGTTTTATTTCCGCCAGGATATTTTCATGCGTGTTTCAACTTACCTAAATCACTTTGGATATAAATAGCTAGCTTACGAGCTATGAAATCGGAGAGAAACCTTGACGGTTGAAGTTTATCAATACCTTCTACATAGCTGCGAGTATTGCACGCTGTAAGAATCCCTCCCACCTCCAGAGTAATAAGATATTTTTTCAAATGAGACATAATTATCGAGTTTTTTGATCTACCTACAAGAAAGATAAAACCTTACCAACAAAAAGAACACTTAAAACAAGTGTAAGCAAACGAGAGAAGTCCATCTTAACTGAAGAATGGTTGGTAGCAGTCTGGAAGTTGCACTCCCAGCGCTTACTAAAACGGTCCCAAAATAACTATGATGATGTCTGTGTTACGTCTGAATCAGCCATATATGGAAGTACACAGAACAAAAAGCTGTCACGAACGAAATGCCAAAGAAAACTGCTCTCAGTTAGCGTTCGTTTACTACATTCTTCCGTGCAGTAACTTTCTCCGACGTTGGCTCACGTTTTTAGGAATAATGATAAATGATGGACTCGGAAATTTGTGACAAGTATTGAAGTTGCGCGCAGTAGGAAGCTTCTTTCGGCCATTTCTCCTGGAAAGAAGGCGAGATTATCTGGCGATAAAAGCAAAACAGACCGAGCGCGGTGGCAGGCGGGGTGGGGGTAGCGTATGGATTAGAGTATGAATTAGACGTATGGAGTACGAATAATCTTCCTTGACGCACAGCTCAAATATAAATTTTTAAACAAGCCCTTAAATGAAGACGAACAAACAAATAAAAAGTCCTAGAAACAATCTCATTCAAGTGTAAAAAGTGATGGAGTCAGATATTATTTCCGATGCCTTTGGTTTGTCTGGTGGATGCTCGATACTTAATATTGCAGTAATCTTAAAATAGACTTCAGACGCCTCTAAAGACTGAATCCAACCCGAAAAAACTAAGGGAAAAAATGATAATAATTTTGACAGATGCGGAAAATAATGCGGTTGGTCATTGTTCTTCATTTCTTCATCTCATCGTTGATCATTGGTTGCTTATTCTCGATCAAAATAGATCAAGCTTTCCTCCTCTCCCGTCGTCCCCCCC